AGAGAGAGAGAGAGAGAGAGAGAGAGAGAGAGAGAGAGTGCGGGCACGTGGGAGTGTTCTAATTGCGTCTGGTCACCGGGACGAACGCCGGCTACATCATTGCCACTTTTACCAACATCACCGCTGGCTCCGGATACTACGGCCGCTCGTATATCGTATATCCGCCGTAAAACACCTATCGCCCTGTCGCCCACGTATCTCGCGATTCTATTCTCGAGCGGAAAGGATACGAACGGTGGAGATTTCGTCGTAATTGGAGCATTCGCGCGCCGACGGGCAGAAATGGGCGTCGCGATTTTTCGACGTTCGCGCCGAGAACAGCACTCGATATCGCTGATAACGCGTGGGTGCAGGCGGATGTGACTCGCGTACACTCGCACCGTCGATCGGGCATCGATGCTAGAGGCGTTTATTGATGTTAATAATCGTAAATTTATTCATTTATGGGATTAGTGTACACTGATATACATATTGAGAAAATAAAAATTTATTTAAGATATTGACTATTCGTTTGATGTCCAAAAATAGAGAGTGCTTTTAGAATTGACGTATATATTGAAACGCGATATTTCTTCTATTAATACAGATGTTTCGACTCCTTTTTATGCATCGACTGCGCGCGGTAAGACGCGAGTCTCATCTCGCTTAACGCGTTTTGCATTTGCGCGCTCGCTCACGCAACGTGCCGTGGAAATCAAGCGCGAATGTTTAAATATTCGCGCGGTATTTGCTCGCATCGCTCGTTATTATTTCGGCGGCCCGTGAAACCACGCGTGAATTCCAAGTTCGAATTCCCGTTCGCGCGCGCGCGGCGACGACGTTCACTTTCGTAACTGGATTGGACGGCTCGTTGGTTACGAGACATCACGAGGCTCGGGCATGAAGAGATTTACGGCTTCACCTTATATATACGGACGACCAGGAAGAGAAACGTGCCGTCACGCTCACATATGCGGCTCGCGGAAAAGGATCGGGGCCGCTTTAAAGTACAAACAGCTTCCCGCCGTGGAATCTCTTCTGCCCTCCCTCTCTCGTTCTCGTCCTCGCACGAACGAATTCCGAGATATCGCGAGTCAGCGGATTCAAATAGACCATCGCGTGCAAAACTGGTACTTGTGTCCAATAACGGGTGAGCGCGTTCTGTGACGTGTCGCTTAGGTATTCCGTGGAAATACTGATTGATGCAAATTAACGTTGTGTGAGTCAGTCCAGAGTCATTCGTCGTTTAGCCGGGGAAACGGAAAACCCGTCTTTCTCTTCGACTTAAAGGTCAGGGAAAAGTCAGAGGTTGGGTGCTCTTCGATTTGAAATTAATGCTGAGAAAGAGAGAGCAGAGTTATCTTCTCGCTTTTGTTTATCTATTGAACTTCGATCATTCATCGGATTGACAATTGACGTCACGACTGATTCACTCGCGAGATATACATATACGACAAAATTGAGTGGGCACATTTTCCCCGGCATAATAACGGAAGACTTGTCGGAGACCGCCAGATAGATAGGTGTGCGTTAATTTAACAGCGACTTCATCATTCGATTATGCAAAGGTTGCATCTCTTATGGATGCTCCGTATGGCATTTATTATTTGTTCACATAGAATAACGAGATAGAAGCACGAAAGTGCTTCTCATAATTTAAATGTTCTTATTTACATTTCATTTGATTTCTCTCTTTATATTTGAATATAATCTATAATATCTTGCATAGTTTATGTTGTCTACAACGAAATCTACGATACAAGTCTGCAGTACAGCATGTTTGCTTCATAGGGATAATTAAAAAGAAAGTCACAAATTTCGCATCACCAATTGCCTAACGTCGTGATAATCACGAAAATGTCTATCTGGAAGCGTTCGTCTCTGCGTGAAAAGCGCCACATCCGAGAGAACGTCCGCATGGTGATACCTTACGGGGTCGTCTAGAAGTAGATCATCGCAAGAGGAAGCTCTCTGGACCTCGGCTAGATGACCGAGTGTTGTATGTGGTGCGGGAGAGAGAAAGAGAGAGAGAGAGTGTGTGATAAAAGAGTGATAAGGGCATGAATGACGGCGATCCGTGGCAGCTTTCGTACACCGGGGCTGTTCGCGGAGAGAAGTTCGCATAGGTCACGGACCTCGTACGTCTCTCTTACGTATCGGTCAGCGTTATCGTCAGACAGGCCGCGCGGGTCGCGTCGTGTATCGGAGGACCTACATCGTTATCGTGCGAAATACGAAGCTCGAGCGTCATCATCCGTGGCGGCGGCCACGGCTGTATCGATGTGGCGGTTTCGCGATATCCTCATCACCCTTCTTGCTACGTGCTGCATTGATTAGATAAGTTTTCGTCCGTCTCCTCTTATCGAGGCATATTTCCTCTCGTCTCGTCTTCTCGCCTCCCAAGCAACTGATCCTCAGTGACTTCTTAAGAGAGAGGACCTCGAAAGTAGATATTACATGCGGAATAATTCTTCTCTCATCATTCCCCATCGTTATATTTCGATGC